AGATGAAATGGATCATCAAGATCCTGACCAGACATCACCTACCATGGACCAAGATGGCTCTGGACAGCTGAGAAACCTAGCACCGATAAGCTCCCCACCAAACATGAGCGGCTACTTCTGGATTATGGCAAAGGAGTGGACGATAAGATCAGGCAGATCCCGCAGATGCACTACACGTAGCTCAGCCAACCAGGCAGCCCCAACACCCAACCCATACTGGACCCCGACTCTGAAAGCATGGCGACGCATGATGCCCAGCAAACATGGCACAGTGGACAACAAGGAAGAGGCCCTGAGACAACCGCTGTTCTGCAACGACTGGATCAAGGACCCCGAGGGTAGACCCTGGTCACTAAAAGTGAAGGACCGAAGATGGTTGTCGTGGGTGGAAAAAGGGGTGTGGCAGGTAAAGCACCTGTGGGCTGAAGAACGGGGGGAATGGCGAATGGAACAAGAACTCCGGAACACCCTGACAGGCTGTCACGCTCTCGCAGACAACCTAAGTATAATCCAGAAAAGCATCCCACCCCATTGGCTTCACCTCTTGAAAGATGACTTCTCCTGGAAACCAGGGGGCTGGGGCATACCCATATCCCGAACTTCGCCGAACAGAGCATACCGGTTCGTATCCCGCACGCTACCCACCGGCTACTTCTCCAAATTCCATTCCTATCCCATAGCCAATCTCAACCTCCAGGAACTAACCATCCTCAACAGAGAACCTCAGATAGAGACGATAGAGTCCTTCCGTCTGAGAAAAGTGAGGGTATCCAAAACCAAACCATGGATAATCTTCCAGCCTAACCTCAGCATAGSRGAGCTCGAATTCGACCCTAAGGAGTGGATATGGAAACAAGGCAGATCCGAAAAAACTAGAACAATAATGGAATACGACGTAAAATTCGGGTACAACCTAGGCCTACTGACCGCGGACCCCAACCCCAAACTGGAAAACAGATGGAGAGAGACACTGAACCTAGAGCCAACAGCCTCAATATCCATCCCCTGGACTAAATACCTTCACATCAGGCCAGCTAGAATCCGAAGCTTACAATGGCTCCTAGCCCACGCAGCACTCCCTGTCAACGAATGGCTGCACAAAAGAAGAAAACACTCGGACCCCAACAGCTCGGAACTATGCGTAATGTGCGGTGACAGCGTCCCTGAAGACATCCCCCATTCCCTTTTACACTGCAGCCAGGCCGCCTGGATATGGAACAGAATCCGAATTCTATGGCACCATCTCTTCTCATCCCCTCCCCCCATCCTCACCCCACAGAACATCCTACTCCKTTCTAACATCCCCGACAGTCTCAGAGGCGGAAAAGCAGTCTGGTTCCACATGCTCAGGAAACTAGCTCTGTGGGTAATCTGGAAAAGGAGRTGCGCCAAGACAATCGAGGGTACCGAGGTGGCAAGAGAAGAAATGTGGGTTCTACTGCTGCGAATGGCTGAAACGGAGATACGATCCAAATGGAGGGAGGTGGCATCAATAACGAAAGGCAGACCAGAAAGGATAGCCAGCAAGAGACGAGGTTTCATGAGAAACTGGCTTCTACAGGGAAAGATTGCAACGGTGACAGATAACAGATTGATTTGGAAGAAAT